GGGGAAGAGAGTTCCAAACTGACGGAGCAAGGTGGGCGAACGATCTTTCGGCTAATTTTTTACCGCCTTTTCTAGGAACTCGTAAAAGATACCAGCTTTAACAAGCGTTTCACAGAACTAACAACACAATCAGGTTATACAAATGCCAACGATTAGGTGTTCCAAGAGAGTGACATAAAAAGAAAAAGAAGAAGAGAGATAAGGATGATAGACGTTTGACAGGAAAGAAGGAGTACACTACTCAAGAGCACCCACAGAATGAGGATGCTAATGAGAATTTGCAAAAATATCTGAAATACTACGAGGTTGCATCAGCAAAATAAAAGACAGTTAATAGACACAACTAACACAAGGTTAATTTTTAGTATTAGTAGAGGTTTTGCGGCACTCACAACTGCATAAGGTCATATGAGCGCCAGAAGATTAGAGGAGTTACAAGAGAGTAACAAACATAAAAAAGAAGAAGGGGAGCGGGGAGATAAGGACGATAGATGTTTGAGAGGAAAGAAGAAGCAAACCACACCAGAAAACCCGCCAACCACTCACTCAGTTGCATCTGCAAAATAAAAGACAGCTAATAGACACAACTAACACAAGGTTAAATAAAAAGCTAATGCAGAGAACAATAAAATGGATTTCAGTGTAAATAATAGAGGGGGGAAAAAAACACTCAAACCAATTTTTAAAGTCATCTCTAGTTGGATATTTAATGTGTAGCGGCTCACTTTTGGTACCCTCACATTTACTCAGTACTAGGCTTCATTTCTTAACTCCTACAGGCATAAGTCTATAAAACATTGCAATTATTTTTTTTTATTATTTAAAATATGGAGTCCCATACAGGTAAAAAAAAGGGTGGACTATATTTATTTGGTATTTTAAGATATTCAATAATGACCAAATGCCCAGTCCTCCAAAGCCACCACACGCACAACAAAGACTTACTTCAAAGAATGTTATTTGCCGAAGAGGATGAAAAGAGGGATAACCTTAAAAAAGGTTCCGTACAAAACAGAACTAAATATTAAATGGGTTATTGCCCTTGTCAATCTTAGTTGACGCAAACATCAATTTGTCTTTGCCCATTATTTCTCGTTTCATAAAAAGGGAAACAGGAATACACATTTCACTTTAGTTTCAGTAAAACGGCACTTGCAACACAAACAGGTCACACAGATATCCAGGAATAAGAAAACTGAAGACTATCCTGCTCTAGTAACACTGAAAGGCCTACAGAGAAGCACACAAAGACACAAACCACAGCTAGTTAAGAATAAAGAAAAAAAAATCACCTTTTGTTTTAGTAAGTATTTGACGGCACTTGCCACACAATTAGGTCATGTAAGTGCCAAATAGAAGAGGTATTACAAGACAGTAACAGACACCAAAAAAAAGGAGGATAGTAAGTTGTTCGATTGGAAAGAAGAAGCAAACCACACCAGGGCACCCGACAACAACCTACACACATCACCGCAATGACAGTCATTTAGTGCATGGAAAGCATAAGACAGACAGACAGACAGACAGACAGACAGACAGACAGACAGACAGACAGATAGACAGACAGACAGATATATAAAAGGAAAAGAAAAGAAAAGTAGGAACTCTTGAGTGATACCTTCC